GGACCATGCCGGGTCGGGTCAAGTACATACCAAATATAGTTATGGACTTAGACATTAATCCAACAACAATATCAGTGGAAGGGTTCAGGGTTAAAGGATGGTTTCAGTTTTGATGGCAGATCAGGTTCTTGTGATTGTATTTTGATTGGTTCTATCTGTGTGGGGCTCGGATTTTTCAACATTAGTATGTTGGTCCAACAGATAAAGGGATCAATGTCTTGTTCAACACTAGAAGGTTTATCCCCCAACTTGTTTTGCATTGTTTATTATATCCATGAGATTTTTTATCATCAGGATGAGCCTTTTCTCGAGGAATTATCTATTCTTTCGGTCAAGTGGGAAGTTTTAGGCATCAATATATGGGTTGGAATTCTGTTTCTAGTGGGAACCTCAGGTAATCAGAAGCTGAGTAGTAAATTTGGAAGACAAGTGGAACGAATTTAGCATGGTCCAGTATGGGCGGTCTGACAGGGAATCATACTGATTTGAGACTCCAGATTTCAGAACTATGCCGACTAACACCGATCCAAGTTGGAGTTCAGGTCAGTGTTATGGTATTACTAAAGGTGTCACCTTGGAAATGTGTGATACACTTCAGGAAGGATGGAAAGTTGGGTCCCCGGTATATTGGGCCTTTTCGATTGATTGTCAGGGTTGGCAAGGTTGCTTGCAGGTTGGAGCTACCTGAGGAGCTCATTCAGATTCAAAACATTTTCCATGTTTTGCTGTTGCGAATGTGTGTATTGGATGAGGATGCAGTGGTTTTCCTTGGGCAATATTCGGGTCAGTGAGCGCCTGATCTACGTTGAGAGGCCAGTATCTATTTCGGAAAGGAAGACAAAGGTCCTGCGCAACAAGGAGGTACCTGTGGTAAAGGTACAATGGCGGCATCAGAGGGGTTCTAAGGGGACCTGAAGCTGAAGGCTGAGATGCGGGAGCATTATCCTGAGTTGTTTGCCGCAGCCGACTTCGAGGACGAAGTCTAGTTCAAGTGGGGGAGAAATGTAACATCCCGATGTTTTGGTATTTCTAAATTCATCCCTTTAATTTCATTATATGACATTTTGGTCCTTAAGTCCAAGCGAAGGTGCCTTGAAGCCCTAGTGGTAATATTGTAATTTTGGGCAGGAGGAATACGTTAAGCATACATGAAGGTACACTAGGCGTACACCTATGTACGCTGGGCGTACTAATGTCAGGAGGAAACCCTAAATTTTAGGGTTTGGGTGATATTTAAGCATCCTTATGGCTCATTTCTGTCCACCTTTTCAGCCTCCACATCCTTTGAGACGTTTTTGCAAAACCCCAGCCCCTTAGTGTGTGTTTTAAGCTCAAGAGTGTGTTTTTGGTGTGTTAAGGAAGAAGAAGTTGCATAAAAAAGCCTTGAAGTGGAAGCAAGCTTGTGTATCTAAGATCTTTGCCTTCTTGTGAAGCTCCAAAAGGTATAATGTCTATACCTTGATGTCTTGGTTGTTAGATCCCATTTTTTGGTGTTTTATGTAGCTTTTCTTGTCACAAAGGTCCCATTTTGTGCATGTTTGGTTATTGTCGTTTTGAGGTGTCCTTCCACCCCATAGGAAGGGTCCTAAGCCATAAAAATGAGGTCCCAATGGTTAGAATTGCCTCATGCCACTTGTAGAAGATCTTAATGGAATAAGACCTTGTGTTAAGGACTTTATGGACGTGTAAATTCATAAGGTTGGAGAATTTATGACTCTAGGGTGCATTTGGACTGTATATTTGAAGTGTGGTCCTATATGCTTAAGCCATTAAGCACTTAATGAAGTTTTGGGGTTGCGAGGTTACGCCCCGCGTACTCGGTCAGCCACCCCGTGAGTTGGCCAATGCGAGGCTTCGCGTACGCTAAGTGTACCTTTGGGTTACGCCCTACGTACTCGCATGAATCAGCCCTTGTTGAGTTGACTCGGTTGGGTTGACTCGGTTGGTTTAGTGGGTTTGACCAGTTAATCTTGACCAGTTGACTTTGAGTTTGACCAAGTTTGACTTTAAGGGCATTTTGGGATTTTGATGGAATTGGTCACTTGGTGGATATAGGTATCGTGTAGAGAGCTAAGATTTGGAGTCGGCCCTCATCATTTCTGTTCAGCTGCGATGTGAGTTTTCCTCACTGTACTTGTGGGTCGAAGGCACCAAGGCCGGCCCATATGTTTGATAACCTAATATTCATTGATATGTTTAGTATGGATTGCATGCTAGTTTTGATATGCTAGTCTGGTAGATCAGTAGGACTACCTGTGATACTGTCTGTATGATTATCTGATTATATGTTTATCTGTTATATATCGACATATTGTGTGGGTTGGGTTGAGGTTGTACTGCTCCGTGCGGTAGCCAACAAACCCGAGAGCAATCCAGATATGAGATAAGGGTCGGGTAGGGTATGCCAGACTCATACTGAGGGCTCATGAGCATTCCGGATACGAGCTGAGGGCCGGGTAGCGCATGCCAGACTCGTACTGAGGGCTTGGTGTTATTCAGTGCGAGGACTAATCTGGTCAGGGAGCAAGCAATACATTAGTTGTGGGCCTCGAGGGCAAGCCATACTAATATTGTGGGCTCAGGGGTAATCTAGTCGTTTAGTTGTGGACCTATTGCATGTTGTTATTGTATATGTGTTAATTGCTTGTGCGTTGGTACTTTGGGGGAACTCACTAAGCTTTGGGCTTACAGTTTTGGGTTATGTTCCAGGTACCTCAGATGACCGCGGGAAGACGAAGGCGTGATCGTGCACCTCCTCGTGTTTTGGTTTATGATTTTGGGCAAACTCTGATATTATACATGTTTTGAAAACTATATTGTAAACAATGATGATTTGTGGCTTGTTTTAAAAGTTTAAATTTTTCATGATTTTATGGGTGTTACAATTAACTTTATGTAGGGTGACACTGTTACCCCCATATAGTAGGCTAGCATACAAGATGGGAGGTCATTACAGGATGATGGTCATGTACATATGTCTACCGTACATATATATAATTATATAGTATATATAACAATGCACCATCATATAATGACTACATCATTAAGGTGGCTTGGTCAAATTACCAAACCCCGCCATTAGTACTTAGATGTATGCAATTAGAGACACATGTTTCTATGTGTTTGAAGTCTTTGTGAGTAAATATGAAAAGGAAAGGAAGTACTCGTGTACGCCCACCCCCTGTGGACGAATTCATGGATAACAGTATTGATACCCTATATCATAAGCAAGATGGTTCAATATTATTTTCTTAGCATTACCTCATATGTGGGACACTGATGGAAGTTTTATGATTCTATACGTGGACATTGACGTAATTTGGTTAGACTGTGATGTAATTTTAATGTTTGTATGTTATCATTATGCAATAAACATTTACTTATGTTATTTACTCTCTTTTATGCATATGTTGATTTTCAATACATTATGTTATATGTATCCTTGCTTTTAGAGTGAAGGCTAGATGATACTCGTTGTAGATTAGTACAATTAGCTTTCAGTATAGATATAAAGGATTGGTGTGAGTTTGCTCCTTGAAGCCTTTATCCAGCTTGGTGTGAATGTGATACGGTATACTTTTGTTTAGATTACATGTATACATTATACTGAAATATACTCTACTAATATATCATGTCCAAAAATTATGCAACCATACATGCCCATAAATATAAAGACCTCTTATTGGTTTTTAGGGTTTTGGTTTATAGCTATGTATACATTATACCGAAATATACTCTTTCTAAGTCCTTCCCTCACCACCACCAGTCTAACCAGCTCCTCCTGAATGCCTCTCCGACATGCCTCCATGGAATGCCAACTTCCAAATACAGATTCCTCTCTGAAATACGATGTTCCGAAGAAAATGTCCATTTTGTAAAATCTCAAAAAGATTGATTATTTTTGCTAAAATTCTCGTTTATAAGGATTAGTTTAAGATAAATCAAATATCCTTCAAATTTTCTTCTATACCAACATTCCTATCCATTTGAAATTATCATATTCCTATCCATTTGAAATTATAATAAATATACAATTTTTTTTAAATAGTAGTTTAGGGCATTTGTCAGTATGAATATCAAAGAAAAATAGTAGGTTTTTTTTAGTTTAATTAATATCCCGATTAAACAAGATAAGAAATAGTGACTGGAATTGATGGAGATTTGTAAGACCATCCACATCGATGGCTTGCAAATGGTTTGCAAATGGTTTGCAAGGCCAAGTAGGTCATTATTTTATGCCACATAGGAGTGTTTCTTTCAAAACTTGAAAGGCTTGCAAAAGGATTATATTAGTATTTTAATCAAATAGCCATATCAAGATATTAAAAACAATTGAATTGATATATTATATTACCTTTATAATAAAATAATAATATCTAATCCATGTGTCTTGCAAACATTATACAGGTGGCCTTTACAAATATATTGCAAGACTACCACTGGTTGCTCTAAAGATAATTATCAAAAAGTCAACAGAAAACTAAATTAATGCAGCTAAAAGTAAAAGATAATTATTCTCCCTAATTATTATTTGAGTAGGTAACTTAACTTTATGATGCTATAGAATATAGATAATAGATTTGAATTATTGTTGTGAAGAAATAATGTAGCGTCTTAAAAGCATCTTTTATGTTGTTTTTGTTCATCGACTTATTATCATTTCTGCAATAAGAATATATTGAAAAAGACAAAGTAAAACAACATAACTATCAATTTTGTTCAAGATCTAATTGCATTCAAGGAATGATCATAATCATAATCATAACCCCACCACTTTCGCCTCAAGTGATTGTGTCAAAACTCGATATAATCTGAACCTATTCGTCAAAATTCATCAAATTCCTGTCATTTTTTCTTAATTTCCCCGATCTAACCCTTGAATTCTCAACCCCTCATCGACAGAATTCAAGCATCCATCTCCAGGTTAAGTATTTCAATCTTATGATCATCTTCTTGATCATGATTCAAGAACCTTTGAGCATCCAATTGATCTTGGATTTGATGAATTCTCTAGCTGCATAATCGAACTGTGCAAGCTACTGCTTGTGCCCAATATTTGAGCCTTGCTTTCACATCCTCAGGATGATCACCTACACCAAAATCCCAAATCAAGTTTAATTATGTTAGAATCAAGAAATCATTGTATGAATTCAAACACCCATTTGAATGATACAATTAAATGACATTTTGAAAACACTCACCAGGGCTAGAAATCTTCCAATTAGCAATCGGAGGTGGGGAAATGGTCTCCTCGACCACCGCCGACGATGGAGACTCCGGCGACTTCTGCTGGTCATCAAGAAATTTTTGACTCATTGAATAACACAATTCCAGCGCCGGCAAAGTGTTGCAGAGTTCGGGAATTTCATCGTAACTAAAACCAAAACCCAAATCCAAACACCCTTTAAGTTCATCAAGATCTTCATCCGTTAAGCTCTTAGCTCTCACGAGTTCATCTTCATCGGATGTCTCCACATACCCTTCAAGAAAGACCTGATTTTTCCTTTTGTAGATGTTGTTTTTGGGCCATGAATCTTGTTTCTTGAACAACCCAGATGGATTTTCGTGAACGAAGGTTGTTTGATCAGAAAATTCGTATTGATCTTCTTGAAAATTCGTCTCATATGAATAGCTCCCCATAGTGTTTCCTTTAGATTGTGGTTGCTTATGTGGATAAAAGTGGATATGTGAGGGAAGGGAGAGGGTTTTTATAGAAATGAAAAGTACACTAACTACCCCTCTGGTTTAATCATACGTATCACGTATGGCAACAAAAGACAAAAAAAAAGTTATGTACAAGTGTTCGAAAAGCATCGTTTTGTGTTTAATTGTTTATAAATAGAATATATTCCAACAAGATTTATATCTTGAAAATTCAGATATGTTTTGATTGTGGAATCATTGAGGTAATATTATTACTAGTTTTTATTTGTTTTGTTTATGGTTGTAATTATAATATTATTTTTTAATAAAACTATCTCTTAATAGAAAATTAATGTATTTTAATAAATAAACTTAATTTAAGTATTCTTCTATAGAAAACTTCTAAGCATAAGCCGAGTAGGAAACACATAAAAACTTATGTTATTAAAACATTATTTGGTGTCATCTGTACAAGTTTTCTGGATAACTGTGATATTCTTTTATTTCTATAAAATTTATTCGATAAATCGTGTGCAAAATATCTTTTATAGCCGAAGTAATGCAATCGTATATAAAACAAAATGGGTGTCGGAAAAGGTTAAGAGATGGGTCAAAATATTTCGGGTAGTGTTGATCTTAAAATATATCGTACTCGAAAAAATAAATGTATATCATATATAATTAATAAAATATATAATTATAATAAGTGCAACATATCATCAGGGCAACATAAGTTAAGAACACATATGATCTTAGGCCATCCTAAATGCTATTACTATGGTCTTCGTGGTCTAGGTGGCCAAGAACCACGACCGTGTACATCATCCCGGTGCCTCGTCGTGGGTTGTGGTCGTGGTAGTTCGTGAAGCCAAGAACTACGTAAAACGACCAATAAACTCATTTCCTCTTTTAACTCTACTTTGACCAATTAACAACTATTTTAATTTTAATTCTTTTATTAATTTTTATCTATATAAATACCACTACAAACCTTCTTATATTTCACACAATTCTTTCAATTTATTAACATTCACACATGTGTGTTGCAAGATCTTTCAAAAATCATGACTCCCAAAAGAATGAATTGGTCGGAAGAGGAAAAAGAGAAGTTAGCACTAGCATGGGTGTCGATGTCCAAAAAAGGAGATAGAAACCTCTAGAGATTTTTTGGGAAAAGTTCAAAGCATGTTCGAAGTTGTACGATACGAGGGTAAATTGTTGCGAGTTCAATGAAATTTACAACTTTGTTATAAACAACGTACACAAATGTGATATGGATCTGCTTAATGTGGTCATGCATCAATATGAAAACACAAACCACAAACGTTTTGCACATCTCAAAGTTTGACAAAACATGAAGAATTCCTCCAAATGGAATAACATTGTTTTTTAAAAAAAAAATAAGATTAAGGCTAGTTGTTTGTGTTTGAATTTTTTTTATGTTTTCTTCTATTTTATTTTAAGTTGTTGATTTTTTTCTATAAATAAATGTAATGTTGTTTTTAATTTAATGAAAACCTAGTTTAAAAAAAATATATGTGTTTATTGTATTTTTGAATTAAATTTAATTAAAAAAATGATGTGGAGTGGTGTGTTATTGGTAAGTATCTCACGGTTTTAGTGGTAAGATGTGGTGAGGAGGTGACATCCACCCTTATAGTAGTTAGTGGTGGATATTGTGGATGACCTTAGTGTGGAAGAAATGAGTCTTTCCCCTCTTTCATAAAGATGCACACACAAACCGGATCCAAGATTTAAAACTACTCCATCTAAAACAGTTTTGGTCAAAACCGGATCGTATTGCATCCGATCCACCGGATTATAACCATATCCTAATCCTATGGTTAGAATAGGATTTAATATCGGATCGTACCTCTCACTAACAGAAAAACAATCCATCTTAACATGCTTTGTTCATTCATGAAAGACAGGGTTGTTTGCAATGTGACGAGCAACCTGGTTGTCACAAAACAAAACTGTCGGAGAATCAATGACAACTTGCAGGTCCTTAAGAAGCTATCTAACCCATAAAATCTCACTCACGGTTGAGGCAATGGGTCGATATTCAGCTTCAGCAGAAGAACGAGACACAACTGATTGTTTCTTGGTTTTCCAAGAGATTGGAGCACTTCCAAGCATAAGAAGATAACATGTTCTTGATCGTCTCGTATATGGACATCCTAGCCAATCTAAATCACAAAAGGAAGTTAAAACAGGCTCTCCAACACGTGGCAAAAGAATGCCCTGTCCTGGTGTCCCTTTTAAATAATGTAGTACCCTGGTGACAGCTTGCATGTGACTAACTCGAGGGTCACTCACAAATTGACTCAAAACACTGACTGCATAAGTGACATCAGGACGAGTGGCTTGAAGATAGAGGATCTGGCCAACAAGTCTTCTATATATGCCAGCATCAATTCGATCTTCCTTTTCCCTTCGATCCAACTTTAAGTTCTGCTCAATAGGAAATGAGCTCGGTTTACATCCCAACATTCAACTGTCCTTGAGAATGTCCAAAATATACTTTCTTTGACTTAACACCAAGCCATCAGAAGTTTTTGCCACTTCTATACCAAGAAAGTAATTTAGTTGCCCAAGATCTTTAATACTAAAAACTTTATCAAGCTGTGGTTTTGTTTCTTTAATCTAATCAAGATCATTCCCTGCTATGATGACATCATCCACATAAATCAAGATGATAGTGTGAACCCCTTCTTGGTCTTGTAAGAATAAAGAATAATCTGCTTTGGATTGGCAAAAGTTTATACTCAAAAGAAACCTCGTGAACTTGCGATACCAGTTGCGAGAGGACTGTTTTAACCCGTAAAGTGACATGTGCAACCGAAAAACACGAGTATCACCTTCTTTAGTGAATCCTTGAGGAACTTTCTGTACACCTCTTCGTCTAAGTCTCCATGTAAGAAAGCGTTGTTGACGTCAAGTTGATGAACAAACCAATTCTTCTTTGCAACTATTGACAATAGAGTGCGCATAGTGACTAGCTTTGCCACCGGTGTAAAGTTGTCATGAAAGTCTACTACCTCCATATGTGTAAACCCCTTCGCCACTAGTCTAGCTTTGTATTGTTCCACCTCGCCATTTGGCTTGTATTTGATCTTATAAACCCACTTTGACTCAATAGCTCGTTTCCCTTTTGGGAGATTAGTGAGGGTCCAAATTTCATTTTTCTCCAAGGCTCGTATTTCTTGTTGCATGGCATGTCGCCACCTTTCATCCTGCGAAACTTGATTAAAGGGTCGAGGCTCATCATTTAAAGTGATGGCTGTCAAGTAAGCTTTATGATTTGTAGAAAAATTTCATAAAAGACAAAGTTAGGAAGAGGGTGTACCGTCGAGGTTCTCGATTGGAATTGGGCTATTGATGGTTGATCGAATGGGGTAGTATGACAACATAATCTTTGAATCTTTATGGCTGTGATTTCATTCTTTTTGTTCTTGTTAAGTTATGTCCTTCAGTTTCATCATTATTTGAATCTTGTTACGTAAGATCTGTGGTATGATTTTGTGTATTGGTTTCATCATGACTCGACTCCCCCTATTGAACATTTCCATTATTATGGTCATTTTGATCATCAACATGATCGTCGTGGATTGATACAGTCATGGGAATGGTATCCAAAGTTTCGTTAACAAGATATTCTTCACAACATGTATCGTTATGAAGTTTGGCCGGTTCATCATCTATATCATAGTGATCAAATTTTTCATACCTGAATGGAAGAGTGATTTCATGAAATAAAACATCCCTGCTAATGATAATTTTCTATGACTCAATATCATAGATTTTGTATCCTTTAGTCCCTTGTGGGTATCCTAAGACCACACCAATATTTCCCTTTTTCTCAAACTTGTCTCCTTTCGTATATGTATTCTTGTAGTAGGCTAAACAACCAAAAACTCTCATATGATCATATTGAGGCTTTTGGTTCCAAAAAATTTCATAAGGAGTTTTGTTTTTAATAACCTTAGATAGAAGCCTATTGATTATGTAGGTTGCAGTCAAGTTGCATTCCCCCCAAAATCTTTTTGGGATATTTGCTTCAAAACGAATGGCACGGGCTATCTCAAGCAAATGTCTATGCTATCTTTCAACCACACCGTTTTGCTGCGGTGTATGGGGACAAGTCGTTTCTAACAAGATTCCCTGTTCATTGTAGAATTGAAGCACATGATTAGAAGTAAACTCCCCACCATTGTAATATCCCAAAAATCAAGGATAAGAATTTCATTTTTATTATAATCAAGATGTAACTTGGTCCAAACATTTAAAAACATTTCTACTTAACACAATTATCAGAGTTGAATCCCAAAATTACGTATTGCGGAATACTCGCGTGTATGCGTTGCGATCAAGTCGGGCCCTTCTCTTCCGAACTGGAAGTACCTGAAACCAAACCACAAACTGTAAGCATGAAGCTTAGTGAGTTCCCCAAATACCACATATAACGCAAACATACTGTCAGGCATATATGGGTGCCCGACCTACCCTACCGAGCATATCTGGGTGCGCGAACTACCCTTGTCGGGCATATCTGGGTGCCCGACCTACCCTCCGGTTTATTTCAACCGGTTACGCGGTCTATTTCACCCCTACCACTACCACATAATATCACACATAAATCACATAATCATCAAGCAATACAGAAACAATGATAATTATCACACAGACAACCATCATATCATGCAATAAATAAGGGGCCGGCCTTGGTGCCTTCGACCGTAACTTTCACGAAGGGAGACTCACCTGATCAAAAGCACACATAAATCTCTACAAGATGTAGCCCAGAAATTAGCCACACTCGGTTCATCCTCAAAGTAAATTAAATCATCAATAATATATATATTCACTTTATCGTGCCACGAATGAATAACTCCTAGAGTCACCCTCGATCGCCAGATGTTCCTGTAACGCCTGGTTCCTGGTATGCATTTAACTTTATTATTTTATTCATTTTAGAAGGGATACTCGATGAGTTGGTGGCCCTAACTCATCGAGTGGAAGGCAGAATATGCGTGGGTTTTAAGTGAGCTACTCG